CCCCTCCCTGGAAGTGTTCAAGGCCAGGCTGGACGGGGCTTGGAGCAACCTAATCTAGCGGAAGGCGTCCCTGCCCGTGGCAGCGGGGGTGGACTAGATGATCTTTAAGGTCCCTTGCAAGCCAAACCATTCTGTGATTCTATGAACAGGTCAGCAAGCTTCTCCAGCAGTTCATCTGGGCCTCCTCACTTGGGAAAGGCAGTTGGAGCTGGGAGCCTTCAACTCCGGCCTGAAATCTCTGACTTGGCTTCACCAGAACCTCTGGGTGTTTTGGACTGTGCCAAGAAAAGGAGGGGCGAGCTGGAGGTGGAGTCTCGGTTGTGTTTTGTTGCTTGAAAAGGCGCTAAGCCTGTGTTCTTCTTCCTGGCCTTGCCTCGCAGATGGTGGGAATTGGGACATCGGACGTGAACCTGGACAAGTACCGCCACACCTTCTGCAGCCTGCTGGGCAAGGATGAGGACAGCTGGGGACTCTCCTACACAGGTAATGCAGTAACGCCTGTGTTTTGCAGACCCCTTAGAACCAGCGCGTGAACTTCCCAGGGTGCCTGGACTGCCGGTTGCGCGTCACTGATTGGGGGTTTCAGTGCTGCTGGCTGCGCTCTGGTATTGCAAACCCTCAACTTTCCCCTCTTCATCGCCCGCTCTGGGGTGGGAGGGCAAGGATCAGGCAACGGAGGGATTTTTTTAGGCACCGAGCGAGGCTGTACCAGTGGGAATGTGCAGTGCAGGAGTTGGGATGAATTTGCGAAGCGCAGGCTTTCCACTGAACGCCATTTTTTTCTGTTTGTTTTAAGGACTACTGCATCACAAGGGAGACAAAACAAACTTCTCTTCGAGGTTTGGCCAAGGCTCCATCATCGGGGTGCATTTGGACACGTGGCACAGGATGCTCACGTTCTTCAAAAACCGCAAGTGCATAGGTAAGAGCAAGGGCAGCCGCAGCGGCCTGCAGGCAGGGGGAGTGGGAGCAGGGAGCGGCATAGCTTTGGCTGAACTCAATGTCTGGCTGCAGCAGGGCTGCTGGAGAAAACGCTGGCAAAGTAGAAGACCAAGGCGTGAAGTGAGTGGGAGGAAGGTTACATTTGTTGATTAATAGATTGGGATTTCAAAAGGCTGTTTTCCAAGCATTTTCCAACAGCTCTGTAGGTAATAGGTTCAGGGTAGCTGGGAAGAGTGAGATCACCTCGTCAAAACTAATGTCAAACCTGTCCCCTGGGCAGGGGTTGCAGCTACGAAGCTGCAGAACAAGAAGTTTTACCCTATGGTGTGCTCAACGGTGGCCAAGAGCAGCATGAAGGTGATCCGCTCCTGCGCCAGCTGCACATCCCTCCAGTATCTCTGCTGTTACCGCCTGCGCCAGCTCCTGCCCGACTACGTGGACACGCTGGAGGTGCT